ATGGCAGAGGAGGACAGCTGTGGCCTGAAGAACTCTCCCATCATTGGATGGAAAATAATGAAGACAAATGTATTTATAACAGCCCCAAAATGATTTTATCACTATTTCAGTCCGGCATGCTGTCTCTGTCTTTTTCGGTTAGAAAAAAATCCGGGAAAGTCTTGCAGAGCGCAGTCTAAGCTAGACTCAGCTCTTGGAGAGAAACAGAGGAGGTCTTGGAGGGGTACTGTGGTATAGTACATTATGTTTTTGCTATAAATCTATATATGTATATATACACCAGTCTTGGAAGGGGTATCTGACATTGGACATGCATGGTTAGTTTTCCCTCTAAATGCCTGTCTTGGAAGCAAAATCATGGTTTCCAGTACATGTTCAAACCAAACCTATCCAGTGATTTTGGTGTTGGAAACCAAACCCAAAAGACTCTTTTGGAAACCAAACGCTGGTGACCCAGAAAATCGAAAGCTCACCATGGACAAGCAGCCAAAATAAGGGGTCATTCGGATTCCAAGCATGCATTCATTTGATTTTAATCATAAAACCAAAGTAAGGGATTGAAGCTCAATTGCCGTGTCAGACCGTAGATCTGTCATTGAGGAGATCTCACACCCCGCCCAATTCTGGGACGGGAAGCCTCCCACTACGAAGGGAAGCTCAGGGAACGTTTTGAGCAAAACCTCAAACCATGAATGGTGGAGATTAGGAAGACCGTCAAGAATGCGTTTAGTTCGACTTGGGATTTCCTGATAGCCAGAAACTCAAACCATCCAGATTTGCTTATTCGACTCCCATAGAGGCTTAGCTTCACACAATGCAAAGTATCACATGAGGCGACAGCACGACAGCATTGTAGAATGTATAGCTACTTATTCAGAACTTATTCATATAATATATCATGCACAACCCAAATCATCCCAAAAACAATACACACATCCGTCACATACACATCATACACAGCGTTGTCCCACCGACCCATTGAATCAGATGGGATTTCTTTGATTCTGATATACAGCTGATAGGAAAACAGCAAAGCAGTGCCATGAAATCATCAGCAAAAAAGGATATAACGTGATACGTCAATTCAATTCACAATTGCTGGTTGCTGGTTTGGAACATGTTTTATTTTCCCATATATTGGGAAGAATCATCATCCCAAGTGACGAACTCATATTTTTCAGAGAGGTTGGTTGAAACCACCAACCATATATATATATCATATTATATTATATTATATTATATTATATCATATTTATATTAAATAATATTATATTATATTATATTATATTATGTTATATTATATTATATTATATTATGTTATTTTTATATATGATATCATATTCCCAGTCGGATATCACTGATATATCATTGATATATCCATGAGAACCATGTGATTCTCCGAGGATCACTCTCCGTTTGGTCCTTGAGAAGTCCTTGACGCAGGCAGCATAAAAGATGACGCCGACCAGGGGTAGTATGAAAGCCTCAGGTGATCAAACGTGGCTATGGGAAATCTACAAAATCCCCAATCAATGGGAAAATCATTGGAAAATCAAGGGAAATCCCCGAACTAAATGGACAATTCGTTCGCTGGGAAAATCTTCGAGTCATATTGGGACATGGGGATTTTCTATCGCATGATGACTGGAGGGTAAACAGCTCCGTTCTATGATCCACTCCCACTACTAATAGGAAGGGATTCTTTTGCAGGATGTGTTTATATGGTCAACAGTTGGATGAGATTAACACATAATGCGGGATGTCATCAATTCATTTTCATGAGGAATTACATACCCATTATATCATATACCAATTGCAATGAATCTGTAATGATGGTGGGATGACCATACCCCATATATATACAATGTTTTGACCATGACACACATGTAATGAATTAACCATATGGATAGAAGGAGAGCTTTCCATTTATTTACATTATTGTTGATGGTTTTCCCGTCAAACATGGGGATTTCCCACTGCTTTGTCTTATTTGACTACCAACATAATACTGGGTTAACTCTGGAGAATGGTAGGTCAGTGGGAACGTGTTTGGCCAGTTTTGAGGGTAACATATGGAGGTTTGCTAAAATAGTGGTACCCCTAAATCATCCATTTTAATATGATTTTCCATTATAAACCATCCATTTTGGGTACCCCCATTTATGAGGAACTAAGCAACATGCACATGTCATGAAAAAAATGCATTGCGTGTGAGATTGTTTACACCATTTCACATATATATATTATGTAATATATGTATATATATATATATGTATAAGTCTTGTTTCATCAACAAAGATGTGGAGATAAAAGCTCACTCACAGGTACAGGACCAATCAGAACATTTTTTTCTCCAAATATGATGTACCGAACAGTCCAAAGCCCAGGTCCTAATGCATCCATGATCATTCACAATTAGGAGCCCGGTTGCCCCGGTTACCTCCCCCCCAAAAAAAATCGTTGATCAATCGTTTTGACCATAGGATGCGCTTCGTGAGTACAACAAAAAACAACAAGTCTGATTCTGGGTTTTATACAACCATAGGCCAAGAAGTGAAGACATATCTTTGATATAGCTTGACATTACAGGAATTTCACTGTATCCATCCGGCAATCAAACATGGTTTTCTGGAAAATCCCCCAATAGTTCGATGATTTTCCCAGTGAACTCAACCTCCATGGCTAGGCCACGTTTGGATTTCCCAGTGCCATCCCACGTCTGTGCTGATTTTCTAAGAATAGACCATGCCCAATATGACCAGAAATGGCTGGTATAAACCATCCGAAACTGGACATTTATGAAATGGGCTTTACTACATTAATCTGATTAGTGGCTGAGCCGAGCCGGCCCAAAATACCACTGATATGTGGGCTCCAAATTTTCAATCCCAACGTCAGCTTGAGCTCGTAAACGTCAGGTTGTTATGATCGTTGGGGCTTGGTCTAATCACATCCTGTTCACATTAAACACTCCCATTCCAGGTGAATCCCAACTGGTAATTGGTTATTAACCCATATCAGTACGTATATATTAATTATACCTACACACACACACCGAATATATATATATATATCTATCTACAGGTAATGTAATATATATTACAATTGGACCCATGACTGGTGCAGAACATTTTTTATCAAACGTGATATATATATATAATATACAATATACATATATGTATATATACGATGTGTATATACAATATGTTTGTACATATACTGTATATATTATATATATATGAGGGCTATTTCATAGTCACTAGCCACTAATTCCTGGGATGTCCCAGGGTCACAAAAACAGGCCCAACTGCTGGAGTACGATTCCCTAGACGAGCAGGTGCACTGGGAGCCTGTCGGCGACTGGTGAATTCTGAGTCTATAGGAGATCTATTTGGAATATCATGGGAGAATGGGGAAATAGATCCATCAGATAGGGGATTGAATCGGATCGACTGGGAATATGATTGTTAGAAGATAGTTTTTTTTTGTGTATTGGGGATGTAGACAAACAATGAATTTTTGTTGGGGTCTCTTAAATCCTCTCCCACCGACTGGATAGGTAGTGGAGAATCCTCAGATTTTTTTGCGGACAATCACCTGCCAACCAGCACAAGATGACATTGTTTGGGAACCATGACAGAAACTATTGGAACTACATCCCAACTGTGAGAAGGATGAAATCAGACAAAGCTCACAAAATATTGGGTAGGCGGTAGGCGTGGGATTTTCTTGGGGGCCAGCTTGATATTTTCCTACCAGACCTGGCAATGGAAAATCTCTGCGTTTCCAGGGGAGAAGCTTGAGAAAATGGAAGACATTGGATGTGTCTCATTGTTCTTGCATCAATATCATGTTGGAATGTGAGATTTGGCTTCCCATATTGTTCTTGAAGTTGTCTGGTTGCCTTCCAATGTAGAGATGTTGGAATATTGAAATCTGGCGACAACTGGCTGTGACCCATCTGGGTCAACCTTGGGTCGAATCGATTCACCATGAAAATGTCCATCGTCTTTTGTCAAGATACATCTAATGAGCAAAGATACATATGTATATATATATATGTGTGTGATATATACAGATATAATTATATATATATGTATATGGATACATCATTCTTGTACCCCAGAAATATTTGATAATGCATAGGCAATAGGGATGTGTCAGAAGCTATGTTCCATGTTTGGGGATTTGACCCATAGCTTCACCGGACGCACATCCCGTATGTAACTTAAACATTGCGCTGTGATGTTGTTAGTTACGTATATCATTGCAAATCATTACCACATTAAAATCGGTAAAACAATTTTGTATATATATATATATAGGTGTATTAGTGTATATATATATGTATATATATATATCAATGTCCCATTAAGATACGTAAAACAAAATAAACAACATAACATTAGATATCCCATTCGTCCAATGCAACTGGACCACACGGCCATCAGCCATTCTCAGCCATTCTCAGCCAGGAAGCACTTGAGCGGATCAGAAGTTTGAAATCGTCGGGAGCTTCAGATGGGGAACCAATTCATCCTACGAATGGTGGCGAACTACCCACGAATCCTAAGTAGATTATATCCCTGGTTATAAGTGATTATACGTGGGATAAGTAGGGTTAATCCACTTATAACTAGGGTGAACTAACCTACTTAGGATTCGCGGGATTAGCTAAATGTCTTGTGGCCTGCGGCAGGGTGAATTGACAACACTAAATGGGTCTGAACATGTGGTATACCCCCAACCAATTTTAATGGGAAAAAATGCAATTAACCGTCATTTTTTGGGTACCCTATTTGAAGACAAATTCAACTATACCTTACTTATACATATGAAAATAAAGAGTGGAATGTGCCCAGTTGCATATGGGAAAATGCAAGAAAATCTGCCGAAAAACCTCAACTAAATTGATGGCAAAAACTAGGGGTATTGATTGGAGCTTCAGATGGGTTGGGTGAAGGGTTGACCAACACAGGCGAAAGATTACCTGCAACCACCACAGTGGGAGTTTAAGGAAATGACATGGTCATATATGGTGATGTAAACTGTAAACATAAACATTGAGTGATGAATGCCCAAAATCCCAACAACTAACATAATTATCATAATTGGTGATGTCACCCAATTCCTACGCGGAAAAAAACAAAAAAACATTTGCACTAGCAACAGTTGGCATGCAAGCTGCACGTAAATTCGACATTCCTGTGAGGCTCGGTGCAATGATAGCTGAAAGATGCTGGGTGTTCTTCACAACGATAAAAACTGATTCTGGACACCCAGATCACGGCAATAATACATATATATATACCCGAGGGGCCTGCGGTTCTCCGATGGAGAAGCGGTGGGGTGGGGTGGGGTGGGGCATGTTACCGTCATGTTCATGTTACGTTGATGCTACGTTGATGGGAGGAGTGGGGTGGGGTGGGGCATGTTACCGTCATGTTCATGTTACGTTGATGCTACGTTGATGGGAGGAGTGGGGTGGGGTGGGGCATGTTAACGTCATGTTCATGTTACGTTGATGCTACGTTGATGGGAGGGGTGGGGTGGGGTGGGGCATGTTAACGTCATGTTCATGTTACGTTGATGCTACGTTGATGGGAGGGGTGGGGTGGGGTGGGGCATGGTCATGTTCATGGGCATGTTTGGGATGGGGTGGGGTGGGGCATGGTCATGTTCATTACGTTGATGCTACGTTGATGGGCTAGGTGTGATGGGGATGCATACGCCGTCATGTTCATGGTTTGGGGGGGGGGCATGTTACCGTCATGTTCATGTTACGTTGATGCTACGTTGATGGGAGGGGTGGGGTGGGGTGGGGCATGTTACCGTCATGTTCAGTTTACTATATAGAATGAAAACACAAAAATCGCCTGACTGTCAGCACTTGCAATTTTCTACACATTGCCAATTCATTGCAAATAACAGTGCAAAAGTAGCATGACGCAAAATGCCTGAGAAAACACAGTACATTTGCTCAATTTTACATGACCACGCCATGACTATACGATGAAAATTCACAATTTTACACCAAAATATGCGATTTCTGACTTCTGAGAACATGACTTATGGCACAAGATGACTCTGCTTTAAAACGGACGAAAAAAATTGATCCGTTCAACATGATGCTGAAAAGGACGTTGCCACTATTGAAAAAATGGCAAATTACCTAGGCGCCAGCTGTTTTTTTACATATTGACACTCAAACACAGCTGATGGCATCGGAGAACCTCAGTCCCCTCGCGTATATATATAAGTATATACATAAACGTGGGATGGTGGACTACTAGAAAATAAGCTATCCATAGGGCGATCTAGTTTTGTTGACCATACGCCCCTAATCTAAACAGTCCAAACCTTGGGTCGAAACGACGACATCTCACAAGCCTCATTTTACATAAACATTGGACCCCAAGAATGAAGAGAATGGTCTTTGTTCACTTAATAAGTGGTTAACAACCTGGTTAGTAAGTCCCCCAAGTTGGTTATCCCATTTTTAAGTGGGTTATAACTACTAACCACTTACGATTCCTGGGATGATACCCAAATTCCGCGCCTAGTGGTTTGACATATCATATTTCTCAGGGGAGCTGAAACCACCAACGATAGTGCTACTTAAGGTATAACCATACTTAAAACAATGGAACATCGGAAACTTTAAGTGAGTTTCTTTTTCACTTTAAATAAGATAAAATGTGTATATATATATACATATACATATATATATATATAAAGTCTGGTATACAAAGTATGGTATACTCGTTACAATAATGTCTATATTATTGACCTAGAAATGTCGATGTTCTACTCGTTTTTTTCAAACACGCTTTTGACATGTTGTCTTTGAAAATTGATCCAAAACTCACCACGCTAGGCTCCATTTGCAATGGCTTGGGCTGAGCGAAATCAGCGGCTTGGAAGCCTTCGACGCCGCTGAGGTTCGCGGTGAAGCGGTGAAGCCGTGGTGACTTATGGTGACTTCAATGGACATACGATGGTTTACCCCCTGGTATTTTAACATAGCTATTGAAAATTGCAACTTATAGTGGAATTATCCATTAAAAATTGCGATTTTCCATAGTTATCTTAGTTTACCGGAGGGTAATGATGTTGACTGATGTTGAATGAGGATTTGCAGTCATGGACATATACTGGATATTTAATGGGGATTAAAGTATTAAATTGGTTGATAAACCCTCATCAACTATATATCTACTATACATACCATATGGTTTACCTATATAGTTATGTTTACCAACTTAGCTACTGTTTGGGGGGCCCACCTTGCATCTCCCTGTCAATGCTCCAAGGGTGCTCCAAGCCACCTACCCAGGGTATACTACCCTGGACCCTTGCAACCCTGAAATAGATTCCATGGTCCAGCATGTCCTTTATGTTGACCCTTGCGTAAACATACAAACTAGGTGGAAAAACATAACAATATGTATAGATGATTTTATTGCCTAAAAGGAGGAGGCAAGGCAAAGCTGCACCTGAAACAGAAAAACAAAACCTGGCCTTGAAGCTGCAGAGGAAGGCTCAAGCCCTGGAGCCCATGGAAAAGCAACGGCTAAAACTTCCATGTTTTTTCCATCGGTTTTCCATCGGTTTTCCCTCATAGATTTCCGACAGGTTTTCCCTCGGTTTTTCCATCGATTTCCCACAGGTTTTCCATCGGTGTTCCATCGGTTTTCCTATGTTTTCCCATATGTTTTCCCATAGGTTTTCCGTAGGTTTTTATTCCCCCAGGATCTCCTTGTGGCGGCCAAGTCCCCAACGGAAGCGAACCAAGCGAACCAGGTGCTGTATCTCCAAGCGAACCGACTTTCGCGCATCGAAAACCTGGAATGGCTTCCCAGGTGAGGGGATCGGTGGAGCACTGGGGAGAACGATCCCGAAAAATTGGACGAATAGGTTGCATATTGGACGAATAAAGGCTACCATATGCTTGGTATATAGTATCAATATGTAGTAATATGATACTCTCAACTACAGTTGAACTACAAGGGGTCTGGAACGGGGTGTGCGCCCGAAAAGCGCTAGGGTCTGAAATGGTGTTTGTACCCTTGTAGACCTTTGGGTTTTGTACCATTGTAAACCTTATCATCTTGGATGCAACATATTAGGTTTCGACCTCACGACCATTATAGACCTGTTTGGGGTGTTTTCATTTTAGACCGAACCCGTTGAGGAAGTACTTGGGGCTTTCTAAAAGAACGCAAGTTATTCACATCACGGCATGAGCCCTACTCTGCATCTTGGGTTGTGCCCAGGATCTGAATTTATGTTTCCCATTCTGCAACGTAAACATATTGACATAAACCAAAGAGAACACATTTGAGACCCAGCCCCATGGTGTCGTAAACACCAGAAACACACCCAACTCGTAGAATCGTAGAATGGATCTAGGGAACAAAGATTCCCACTCAGCATTGTATACATACTAACATGAAAGCACAACTGACACATGTGAGACCCGAGCCCATTGGTAGCATGGACCCGGGGGTCTGACATGAAGTTGCCCACCTTGTGATGTGAACATACCAACATCAAACCAAGGAGAAACCATATGAGACGCAGCCCCATGGTGCCGTACACGGCAAACATCCCTCCAGTCCACCTGATTCTTCGAATGGACCCGGGCCTGTAATGTAAACATAATAACATGAAACACACAACCTGCATCCTTGAAAACGCACGAATAAATGCTCATTTGAGAAATTCATGCTTTTTGAGCGGTTTTTCTATGTTTTTCTCCTAATGAGCTTCATTTCATCTTCGTTTGCCTGGTCGGCCTCTTCGTTTTTCATTTCATCATCATCCATGACATTCTGGTTAAAAGAAAAAGGGCTGTTAGAGCATTCTCCAGTTCTCCAGAGTCAAAATTCACGGTCTGACCAGCCAGCGTCTCAGATCATGTGACCCAACCCAGTGAGCGGAAAATATTGATTTCATATTGGGGGAACGATTTGAGACCTCGTCAATGTGAAAAAACACATATGAGTAAAGATCATTGCGCACAGAATTTCATTTGTTTGGCGAAAGTGATGCAGAAATAATATATATATATGTATATGTGTGTGAAGATGATATATGATACATATATATATAGGTAAACAACATATTTTATAAAAACATAGTATACATACATATATTGATGTAATATATGCATAATGTGTATATATATATATTATGAATTATTCTATATATAGAACATGTAGAAAGTAGCGAACCAGGGTCTGAGATAATGTGACCCACCCTGGGGAGCTGAAAATGCTGGATTTCACATGAGGATAGATTTTCTGATCCATCTAGACATTTGCACAAACATATGCAAAACACGTTGATGCACAGTCTGTGCCGACTGTGACGGAAAATACTGTAGTTGCTGTTGAATGTGTGCAGGGTCTGAATGTTTGTGACCACGATAGGTCTGAAATATGTTCTGCTCACTTATGTTTGTTTATTTTCATTTTATGGCTTCGACCTTTCATCTCAGACCCTGCCGTTGCAACTCCCAGGGTTACTTTCCTCCCCTTCAAATCACATGTGGGTCTGGGAAACTTTATTTTAGACCCCATTTTCGGGGTCTTACAATGAAAGTGCAAGGGTCCTTGCCATGTACTTGATTGAGGGTTTGTAATATGACAATCCCGTAATAACCCTTATATCTATGATATTACGCTTCGGCGGGGAAACTTCGAGGAGATGACCCTAAAATAAACCATCTTAAGCCATGAAACTATCAGCAGGAAAATCTGTTGAAAAAAAGGTTTTGAAGTTAACCTGCAGAGGAAAGAACCTATCATTGAGGAAGCGTCCGGACCAGAATAACTCGAAGATGAACGATGTAAGAGAGATGGGGTTACCAATGAAAAGTGTATTTTTATCAGAAACAGCGGGGAATACATCAAGCGAAATCAACAAGTAAGTATGCTTCGAAAGTTACTCTGTCCGAAGACGCATGTCCAATACAGCACATTGATTGAAGGGATTCATCGCTGAGACGGGTTCATCTTGGTTTTTGGGTCTTGATCTTCTTATCTTTGGGCTGGTGGTGCGCGAGTTGTGATCGATGAAGTTTCTTATGATTTCATCTGATCATGTCGAAGATAGTTGATTACCACAAACGATTCACAAACAATACTAATCGATGGGTATCGTTTGATTCAACTCAGTCGCTGTGATTGTCACATCTTTCAACGAAAGCATTCTTGGGAAAGAGTCTCGGTTTCATGCATGTGTTGATCCAACGGCCGTCGATCATCGGTCGATCATCGGTGAAAGCATGTTTATCTCTTCCGTCGTAGAGGAGTTCTGATTATAAGTTTCCTCCCGCTCGATCTATCAACCGCCCTTGCAATGCCACCCATGGTGAATACGGATGTGAAGATAGTCGTGACGAGTTGTGGCGAAGTCAGGTTGAAAGGTGATCATGGCTGCTGGTCAGCGATTCGCCACCCTCATCTCAAATATGTCGAGTCGTTCATGGATGATACGTGCCGTGGGAAGCACGAGTGGGCCTTTGAATTTGACTCGACCTGCAAGAGGGCTCCTCGTGGAGGCAACGAGTTCTGCAAGCATGCGGATGCCTGAACGAGTTGACGCAGACTCAGGTCCAAGGCGAGTGCGAGTACGGCGCGTCATTCAACCCTGAAGGTCGGTTGCTTTGGAAAGCCCACATGCCGAATTGGAGAGAACCATCTACCCATCCGAGTGAAATTCGTGCACGCACCAATGTCGATCAAGTTTTCGGCATCATGCATCAGGATGGTCTTCCGAAGCGTGCGATGCGCACAGCGCGAAGGCTGTTCTTTGTTTATTATGCTGATCCTGGTGGCCACCGTTGTCGCACGCGGGCCGACAGAATCTTCTGCAAGAACCGGACGGCGCACAGGCGCAATATTTTTTAAGGAATTCGGCGACTGTCTGCCCTTGCCAATCGTCTTGCTGGCTCGACGCCTGAGGACGCAGAAGCGCTGGCACAGATTTTGCATGGACCGGGATTATCGGCGAAGCCCGAAGAAATTGCTTAAGTCTTACCCTCGCGAATATCGAGGTAAGCCTAAAGCCCTGGTCGCTGACATTCGAACTCTCGATCCTGAGGTTTGGCACAGGGATTGGAATTTGAAGAGAAGGCACGAACTTGCATTCGAATACGGTCGCTTTTTGACTAGGAAGCAAGTTCAGCGCCTTCTAGCCGGCCCTGGGCAACCAAGATCCAGCACATAGAGTCAATGATTAGAAATCATCGGTTTATCCCTGTGTGCATTTCCACTATGAAATGGCTTGACCCATGTTCCATTCCAGTGGCATTTTTCTAACAAAAGGATGCATTTTGTAAGTACATTTTTCTGGTCAACCATGCCATTTTGTAAAAAGTTTGTTTTTTGCTGGGCGAATCATTTTGTAAGAGCCAACTTTCTTTACAAAATGAACTCGGGGCCAATCATTTCATAGCGCAATTTTGGGTTCATTTCAGGCAGTGCAAAAAAGGGTATTGAAATCTTGGCCATGTCCAGGAACCAGGGTTTCTTCTCTAATTTTTTTGGGTTCCACCATTGATGTGTGAAGAACCGGCAAGACACCACTAAGTCAACCAACCAGAAAAGGTGATATCAAACTTTTTGTTTTTTCCCAAACTTTGGGGACTGTGAAAAAAAAATGCGGGGTTCCCTGGGGAAAGTTGGACTTGTACAAGTAAGACATGTTTCCAAACAAACTATTTTTTAAGACACTTGGGTTTGGGGCCTGGAAATTAACTTGGGGCAACCATTTTGTAAGGAGCCGATTTTGTTTTTTTTGGTTCACTGGTGTTTGCTGGGGAATCACACCAAGCCTGGTGCCCAACTCATTTTGTAAACCCCTAACCATGGATGTTTGTAAGGTTAACTCCTGGGTCCCTTACAAAATGGTTGCCTTGGGTCAGGGGTAAATGTGCAGGGGGATATCGGTTTAATTATACAATCATCAGTTTTTCATGGAGCGATGAATCACTATAGTAGTGTTCAACGTTTATGCGCTGTTGTTAGTGGACGTTGCGCTGGAAGCAAGTGCAGGATCGGGAGTGTCGACTTTTGAGAATGTTTGCGATGAACCATTGTGAGATGCTCATTCAATGTGGAATCAAGCTGGTCTTAAAGTAAAGCCATGCTGTGTTTTAATGAAAATTCACCTTCGTCAATCTTTTGCTGGGACTTGCCTCAGTCAGTTGGTTTGCGCCGAGTCGTTTGAAGGCGACGCCTCTGACTTTGGCAAGTGTTTCACTCCGATTTTGCGTCTCCGAATTTTGCGTCCGAGTCATCAGCAAAAAGCATTGCAAGCTCGACCTTCGAGGCGGGGAAACACGATCAGATGAAGTTGTTAATATTTTGGAAAAATCCTTTGCGGTGATAAAGATTGGTTTGAACATGTTTGAAGCATGTTGGATTGCTCCTGGCAACCTGGGATCGGCGCCATGGCTATGGAGGTCACCTTTCCAGGACGGAACGTTGAATCCTTACATAGCTTTGATGTAACTGGCCCATTGTGTTCCATTGTTTTCAATGATTTGCCTGTAAAAAAAATGAAATGGTGATTTTCCACGGCACACTGTTGAATTGCCAGAGTGGTCATTGACCACTTTTGTGGTTCAATGGATTGGTTTATTTTGTGACCAAAAACATATGGTTTCCTGTAAATTTATCCTCGACAAGTCAATCCATCGGTTTCTTATTGCCAGGCTGCAATTCTTGGCCTTGCAATGCAATCGCATCGCCGGGAACCTCGGAAGATCCGGAGACACCACCTACATGTGATATTTACTTCTGTTCATTGCTCTTTTTTGTGGGGTATATAATATATATATATGTATATTTGTATATATATATATATGTATATATCATTTTATATCTACAAACTCCTCTAGGCAGAAACAAGTGCCTAACCTGCCTGTAGGCATTTATTTCTGCCGATTCCCAGAATAAATGCCTAGGCCCAAAAAAAATGCCGAGGCTGATAAATTTTTGTGTGGTCTTGTCATGTTGTTCAGTGCAGAAAAATGTTTCGAACACAATTCTGCCTAATTCCGTTTTTTTCCGCCTAGATTCCGGTTTTTTCCGCCTAATTTCCAGGTAAAAATGCCTAGGCACAAAATGATGTCGGAGCACAAAAAACATCTTGAGATAAAAATGCCTACATCAATATAAATCTGCCGAGTTTTGCAAACTTCCGGGTGAAAGTGCCTATGCGGCTGCCTAGGCGCCGAGGGCAGAAAAAAGTGCCTAAGGGTTCTTCTAGGAGACAGATAGATAGATAGATATATATATATATATTATGACCATGGGCAAAGAATATCTTACCTGGAGCAGTGTGTGTGTGTGTGTGTCTAAAGCCACTCCGCTCTGAATCAATGGCTTCAGCGCTCCTCATGCCTCTTCATGGAGCCCTGATGCGCATGCCATCGCATGCCTATACGGTATGTGTGCGTTTATAATGAATTAGTTGTGAGAACACAACAAAGATGGGGGGCATTTATCATTTGCTTATTTAACATAGCTATCGAAACCATGGCCCGTAGAAATAGATAATAAACATGACAATTTACTATGAAAACATTGCAATGTTTCAGTCCGCGACGTTAAATGACCAGAGGGTATTCCATATAATCCCCCAAAAACTTGTGCCATGACTTGGTCCAGAAAAATGGACCATTTCTCCAGTGAGGCAGTCGTGGAGAATTTGACCTGCTTGACATCTTTGGAGTTTTTGGATCTTTCCAGAAATGCCATCGTTTGGGACACCCAGAGGGGATCCAAGTTGAACATGATGTCCGAGAGTGTGACCCATGACGGATGAAGACCATATCCAATATACTGAGTTTTGATATGTTGGGAAAGAAACAGCACAAGCAAGACCCATATCTCCATATCTTCGAGTAACTGTCAGAATCTTTGCTGCTGTACCAGGATACAGTGACTTACATCCGGCCACTTGTTGGGAATGTGACCGTGGCAAAAAAAAAACGATAGCCAGACATTATTGAACGATCTTGGTGTGTTGTTGGGTATACACTTATGTTTGGAATCTCTCAATCTACATACAAATGGTACTCAAACATTTGGCAAAGGAAGTCTGCACGTCTGATCCCTGAACTTTTCGGCGAAAGCAAATACTGATCATAAGACTTAGGAGCTATGTAGAAGTTGGATATATGGAAATAGTACCTATACTGACTCCAAGGTCTATATTCTATATGTAAGGTTTGTATATGCATTCTATACTATCGATACACTGTACAGATCTATACATAATCTATGTTTTATAAAACACGCATATCATGTTAATGGCTCATTCCAGTGTTGGAGAAGTCGTCAAGCCCAGCCATGAACCTTTCCGTCGTATCCCACAACGTGGCAAGGTGGAACTGGATGAAAGGGAGTTGCCAAAGTGTCCAGGTTGCAGCGAGGTAATTTTTGGGTATGTATCTATATACATACATATATATATATATTATGATATATATATATAGCATATATAGAGCTGAACATGGGTACTCTCCAGCAAACTAACACAGCTATGGAATATCCACGATTTGGAGATCATGTTGTCAGGGAATCCCACGGATTTCCATAGCTACGTTAGTTTACTGAAGGGTATATAGTTGGTATATATGACTTGGGATTTTGAGGAGATATTCCTTATATAATGGTAATATAGTGTGGATTTAGATATACCAATGATATGTTTTTTGTGCGGTACCCGAAAATTGCGAATTCAACCCCATGTTAATTTCATTTTGTGAGGCATTTATAGGAATTTGATGATTGACTGATGGATTTAGGCGTACCTAATTTTCAGCCAAAGCAACTTATTCATGAGGATTGATTGGGGGTTACTCCGCTCGGACTTAACGGGTCCATGTTAGTCATGTTAGTGTTATGTGTTTATGTTGTTTATTGTGTTTTCTCTTGCCAGTAAATTTACAGAATCAGAATATATACGTATATACACATCGATAGATCACATGAATCATCATCAGGTGTTCATGTAAACACACATATGTACATGTATAATATATATACATAGTATTGTATCCCCTGTGTTGTTGTTTACATCCCTGTTTCACCATTTCCAGATCATACTGCGAAGTGCCTTTGTGCTTCGTGACTGGTGCAAGCTAGCTGTGACTGGTTCGTATCAACAGAACATCTCAATTTATATAGATGTGGGTGATACTGAGTCACAAACACAACTCCCCCAATATATCCAGGGAGAGATTTCCAAGTCGTTCATACCCTAGCAAGAGCTAGGTCTGTTGTATCTCTGGCAGTTCCCCATTGGTCAATCATTTATTTGGATCTCATGATCCTTCACCTTTTCCAAGCCCGAGTCAACTCTGCATACGTTGGAACCACCCATAGAATTAATTAGTAATTAGCTAGTATTAGATGTCCCTATTTTCCCCAGTTAAAACGACGTTTTCCTGATATTCCCATGATCTTCCCATTGAAATGTCCTGACCGATGACCCATTTCCTGTTGATCCACGGATGTTTCGCTGAGGTCCATCAACATGTTGAACTTCCGCGGCAACGTTTGCGCTGAGGCGCCTGACTACAAAGCCAAGCTGCTGGCGTATCTGTCAGGGAGCCCAGGCCCTTCAGGCCCAGCCTTGTGAATCGACCATGGAAGTGGATTATTGTATGGATTAATTAATGACTATTATCAAACTAATTATCTAATGATCAAACTAACTAATTTTGAACCTACTTCCATTGTTTTTTGCTGAGCTAGAGGCATATCTTCATACACGTTCATACCCTGCGAAGAATGAATGCACTTAAGTTCTTGGTATCTTGAGAATCAGACACACCCATTTCCCACATGTTCAGACACACCCATTAATTTTTGTTCGTATCTTCATGTTGGATGACAAGAATTGTCATATGACCCTTATGATTTTTTATTTGCGCATGTCTCGCCCTACACTGGTTCCTCAATGTTTGTGGGAAGCATCGCCTAAGATACATGGGTTGTGAAAAATCATCAACGGTATGTGGAAGGGCACCACACATTACATGGGTTCATATTTTTTGTGGATACCAATGAGTAGTGTTGAAAACCCACGTTGGTTGATGATTTGTCTGGCTCTTATACCATTAAATATATATATACATAGGGAATTTTCATCATCCACTGATGGAATCCCTATCAATCAGTATGATAGAATCACATTGCCCATCTGGTTGCTGATTGAACATTGCAATTACATTATCTGAAACGTCTGAACCTATTCAACCGGTACTGATACTACTAAACATGTTGATTTAATGATATCTCTTGGGATATCATGGCGATATCATGGTGGTTTTTCATGGGGATATACATTATGACTAAAGACGAATGACTGTTTTGAGCATTGCTCAACTGATGTATCGACACATCTCCTTCCTGGGTCTTGTTTGACTGCCAGGCCCGAGTTGGCACAACTCGATGGGGAGGAGGTTGGCGGCCGGCGGTTGCCTCGCTTCGTTGATGGGTGAAAAAATCCAGCTATATCATGCTATATCGTGGGATTGATTCAAGGGAATAAATATAGGAAAGTACGACACTATGTATATATATATATATACATACTTATAATATATGTATATATATATGTGTATATATAATATATATATTTAAATAGATTGTTTTCTGTTTTTACTGTAGGTTTTCCCTTCAACCGATTCTGGGAAGTTGCCTGGCCATTGATCAACCAACCATTGATCCTAACTTCCAGGATTGTCCAAGTGCTTTTTTATCGACCGGGGAATGGAAACTTAGGGTTGGCATGTTTAGGGAGAAGTTATGTTTTGTCCAAACATTGGCTATACACTATATTAATCATATTTTAGGTAGTATTAAATGATATTATTGCTATATTATCATCATTTTAGGTAGTTATATACTATATTATATACTATATTAATCATCATATTATTCCTTTCTTGAAATTGCCATAAATAGGTCGTATGCCCCATTGACCTGACTGACTGTGCTATAGCTGATGGTTCATATGAATTTCCAAAAGATAAGAAAGGTTCAAGTCATGACTTCTACTTTTCTAATGTGGGAAAAACAATGTCATAAACCACCCATGACTTGGAGCGGTTTATACCACCGATTTATGGTGAAATTGGGGATGGTTTATTATTGTTTTACACATATTATTTGTTTTGGGAGGGTCTATTTGCTGTAAGTGGGACCTTACGTTCCATGACATGAGGAAAACCATCTCATTTGTTTCAGGTTTGAGAATGATCATATCCTCACATGGTGACCGTGAATTCCCGCAGAGCCTGACAGAATCCTTTGTTGAAATTATCCGTTACAGTGATGGCCCTTAGTTTGGGAGTATAACTTCTGCAACCAAGGTTAGGCATGACTTAAATGAGGTTATAAACCAGTGATAACTGTTCAGGGCTATGGCTATTTGTATAAAGTTCGGATCCCCATGTCCATCCGGAACATCAAACTGTGGGACAAATGTGCTATTTACCTGGCAGCCGCATGACTTATTCCACCTACCACTACTTCCATTGTAGTGATAGTCACCAAGTACCTATCAAACAAATTGTCAGTAGGAATTCCCACTTATGCAGCAGAACAGTGTGGATTCACTGAATTGATAGATAATCACACACACATACATATATACATATACACATATGTATATGTATATATATATATACAGTATACAACATACATATATATATATACACACTATGCATATATATATATATAACTATAACATAAATTATATTTATACACAGTATATTTATATATATTTTGTGATATATATATATACATTATATATATAATATATCCATATATTTTCCATAGACCTAACCTTTACGTTGGAAACATGCACCTTACCCAGTCGCCAGCCCTCCCTTGAGCTTTCCAGGTGGAGCTCGGCAGTCGCACTGTGGCACCGGACGCGGCGAATGCCGAGTCTCAATGTCCGGCGACGGACGCGGCAAATGCCGAGGCGGAGGAAGTGATTCTGAACAAAGGGCACGGGGTCCCAGTGTAGCGTCCCGGGAGCCACAAAAATTGGGACGTTGAAGCGGCACAGATAGGGATTCAACCGACCAAAATGATGCAAAAACGATGGATTAAGCAAGAAAACATTGGGATTTATAGTTGATGTGTGGTAGCTAAGTTGGTTTCTGCACTCCAGAAACTGTGATTTATGCATGTTTATGGTAGATATATCTAGATTCCTATGGAACTATGTTTCCATGTCGTGTGTCAATCGCAACACGCGACTCCTCGTGGAACAAAAAGAAGAAAAAGACTGGGCACCACCTCGTGGAATCAGTCAAGTTTTACTGATGGCTGATACTCATCCATAAAATGGCTAAATAGATCTAAATAGATCATAATAGATCTAAAGTATTTTTTAGGTCATTATAGAATATTATAGATCTAAATTAGATCTAAATTAGATCTAAATAGACTCTATGGATGGACTTTATTGATGTCAATTGACTTGCTGTGTTAATCAGTATATATATATTTTTTTAAATAGTATATAACAAGCAAGTCAATCACTATTAGACTTTATTGATGTGTTAATCACTATAGCCCTTTGTTGGGTTGGCTGAAGCCCCAACTGCTCATCATCCAGTCCTGCAGGTCTAGCTCTGCCTTGGGGGCCTACTGGATGTCACTTGATCGACGCTACCTGGTGGAGTTGTTGTAGCACCATGGGGATCAAGTATCAAAAGAGATATATATATATATATATGTATATATATATGTGTGTGTTATATATATATATTTATGTATGTTCAATAATCATCAATAATCTATGAATGGGCCATTTTCGCTATAGATAACCTCTTGAGGACCCCGAAGAATAGCTACGTTGACGCACTGTTTACCACTGGTTGGAGGTCGTCACCTAGTGACGTTACTGGGAATTGGAGGGGAATCCGTTCAGCTATTCGAAAAGGTTTGTGAATAAGTAATAATAAGTATACTTCAGCCAGAGGGGACTTAACCTTTTTTTGCCCACATTGGAGTTTCACCATGTTTCACCAACCAAAGTTTTTTGTTTTTTCTTTGGATCCCACACCAACAAACACGGATATTTGTTGGTGACCAGTTTGTGGGATTTTTTTTGGACAGAATGGAATTGGGATACATACATAGAACCAATAATGTGATATGTAGATGAAACAAGGGTAATGTGGGGTACGTGGGTTTGTCTCATTTATAACCATTGTAAAGCATGGAAAAACGTGCTACACCACAGGAGTTTGGTGTTGTCCCCAGTGGATTTTTATACCGGTTAGTAAGTGAGTTATTCAAGATGGTTATGGAAGCCATGGCCCACAGACATAGATTAATAAACATATATATATATGTAAAAGTGTGCTTTACCTATTAATTATTAAACATGGAAATTTCCCGAATATATTTCTGCGGGATTTTCACTACCAATTGAGATGCACCAGTAGACTATGAGCCAGAAGCTCCGCCCCCTTATCCAACAAGAATAGTGATAACACAGAGTAACAGTTCGTACTTCCATTTGTAAGCATGGTATTTGACCAATGGAAAGAAAAAAACAAAACAGTTTTTGGGCACACAAAATGTTACTGTACATGGATCAAACAACACAATATGATATATATATATATAATATGTATGTACCGAACTGTTTCAACTCGCAGACTGGGGGCTTCACTCCACCACAGGAAGCATCCGCGACAAAATGGCTGTTTCATCAGTCAGAGACAGTGATATAAGTGCTGACCAATAATATATATACAATATTATTTAGTATTGTCACATGCTAGCAACCATGTTGGTTCACGGACGAAGACGATGGAAATTCATTGATTCTCACGAGCAGCACACCTTAGATAGCCTAGAAACAGTATGTTTTTTCACCAAGATGGTAGCTGTCAATCAGGGTGATGTGGGAATGGGTCAAAACCGATTACCATATGACTAGGGGAATAACCATCCAGCTATACCAGCTATGACTTAGGGTACCGTTTGGGTATCATGTCACTCCAGGCGGAAAGATCTCTACGCTGGGCTCACAGCAGATGTGAAGGCATGGTGCCCCTCTGCTTTGGAAAAGGGGTCCGAAAAGGGGTCCCCTACTTGAACTTACATCCTAGTTGGTGTTTGTGTGTTAGTAAGGCTACGTAGTAATATGTCTATTCATCAGGTATATCATATTACGACTCAGTTATATGTGAGGTATTAGCCACCTACAATGTTTGACATGGGTATATATGCATTCAGCCATAGTTACAGGATGTTACAGTGGATTATATTCCAACTCATGGTGTGTTATGTTGGCGCGCGCAAACTTGAAGGAGCATGCCGTTTACTTAGTATAAAACGCGGTGATATAAGAACCCCGGCGAATAAGCCCCCGAATACTGGCGTGACTCCAAGTGGAAATTTGACCCTGTTGGGATGCAACAATGTGCCAGGCATCTACAATCATCCATCGATCCATCCATCCATCCATCCATTCATCCATCTATCCATTGATCTATATGTATAATTAATATATGTATATACAAATGTATATAGATACATAGACAGAGGATCACAGGAATGTAGGAAAATAATGGGGGTCAAAATTTCCACTACCAAAAGGCTGTGCTTGAGGGCTCCGGCGAGCTCAATTTCAATAAGAAAAATGCTTTCCCAAACCGAGCTTGGGCACATACTTTTGTAGGTGGGCTGTGTTTTTGTAGGACTTTTGAATCTTATAAAAACCAAGAGTACTTTTGTAGGGAACATGTTTTTTTGGTCATGCAAAACTGTGACCTCAAGAGCCCCCATTTAGTAGGAAACATGTTGTTCAATTGAAAAAGGATCAAAATGATCCTTTTTGACTTGGGCTCGCATTTTGTAATGACGTAAGGTGTTTTTGCATTTTGTAGGCATTCATGCCCGTTCCTACAGTAGCCTTTTTTTGGCTTAGGGATTTTCACAGTGGGGCTACAAAATGCCCCCCCCTCCTGGGCTTCCTTCGGATTGCCCCAATTGCGGACAGCCATATGATGATGCGTTTTGGCATCGAGGACGAGGATGCTGGGGTGTCTTGGAGTCATGATAGTGCCAATCATATCCAATTATGGACAATGAATAACATTGCACTTTACATTTTTATACATGTTCGTTTTTGTCATTGAAATTGAATGAAATTGAATGAATTTGAATCATATTTATTCATATTTACACATCATTATGACCATTGACAGGGCCCATACAGATCCAATTGCAGATCCATAGAGATGTTCATGCTGATGTTTATGCTGAGTGTGGCCCAACTGAGTTGCCCAATGCTTGTACGTGGGGAGCAGTGGCAAGAAGTCTCATCATTATCAATGGTTTGATCCGTTCCTTGGTCCGGTCATTGTCCTCTGCGCAGGGGATGGTATGAAAATTCTTACAAGAAGGATCACACCAAAGGCCACTATAAAATGATACACGTATATACAAATATGATGAAACAAAGGGGATCAAAAGGGTATATACACACAGGTAAACTAGGTAGAATATAGTTAGATCCAGGCATCTTACAAATTGCACACTTGTTCCAGTCTTCACTGCAAAATGATTTTTGAACTTTTTATTCATAATTATTCAGGGCATCATTTCATTTTAGTTATTTCAATTTGAATGACAGATTTTGCTAATCCCAGGAAGACAAGCACTCAGTGGCGGTCGACCACTGTCATCAGCAAGATCAGACCGGACAAAGGTCTGAATGAATCTTGTCGGCAGTTGTTGGCTCGGGGGGGAGGGGTCTCTGTGTGAAAATTGGGCATTTCTTGTTTTTTTGGGGAACCCAAAAGGCATGGACTGTGAAATTCTCCGGATAAACCAGGATTTGAAAGGATGAAACGGTTTTCATGGGCAAGCGTTTTTAATCTTTTTGTAGGATTGATAAAGGGGGTACCCTTTTTGTAGAGATCCAGCCCGGGTTTGGAATGTTTTGGAATGTCAGAAAATTGAATTCAACTTGCTGAAAATCGAAATGTTCAGACTTTTGCATACTTTTGCACCATTTGGATAGCATTGGATTGGGTCCCAAGTTTTATTTGCCAAAGATTTTGAATGAATCAGCGTTTGTGCTCAAATTTGAAGGATTGCAAAGGTGATATCAGGTGATCACAAACAAGTGTCCTTTGCCAGCCATGGTGCTTCCGTGGTTCATCCGCTTTCTTCCAATCCTTGTGGTAGCAGCTGCCGTGCCAAAGTTGAAGGATGATACCTGCTGCGTGACGAAGGAACATGAGTGGCCTGCCAGGGTGGTTCTTTTTGTAGTGGATTATATTGCAGGAGTATTTGGGAGCTATCCAGATCTCACTTCCTTACAAAGATATACAAAGATAAGTTCCATAAGGATCCATAAGGATAGTCATTTTGTAGGGGTTCCATGAGGATAGCCATTTTGTAGGGAATAATGTGCTCAACATGCATGGACAACGAACAATACAACAGAGGCATCTTTCATTTTGGTATTTGTGTTTCTAGATTGTGCAGGTGGTTTCGAGCAGAGGATCACTTTGATGACCTGGTGAATTTTGCCCAAGATTTCAGCGACACTGCGTACAGAACATTGTCAGTGTTGGACCTGTTCGGTGCCTCAAAGCGTGTGTCGCAAACATGGCAACGTGCTGGCTACCGGGGAATGTCCTTTGATATCAAGATTGATCCGACACACGACATATGTTCCAGGGAAGGATTCTTTCTCTTGTTGCGCTGTGGCTTGAGGTTTCTGGTCTGAACATTTGAAATTGTATGATGTTGGTTTATGTTGGTTCCATTTTAATCCATTTTAGGGCAAACACAAGATCAACAATTGTATCACTGTGTAGGGGAAAGATGGTAGAGTTTTGTAACAAACATAATTTCATCATTATTTTGTAGAGGGAACCGGTGTTTGCTTCCTTTGCCACCAAGGTTGAAGTACCAAGGGCTGCTAGTGGGGGCTCCGCCCTGTTCACTCCAGGGGCCATGTTCCCAAAGTGTGCACAAAAGGAGCTGGAA